GATTTATAATTCACAAGGCTTTACGTTGTTACAAAGAGTTCGGGGGTCAAAGCAAAAAGCAAAACAGCCTGGCTGTAACGTCAGGAGTGGTCTGAGCACGCATTTAAGGCACAGTGACCAAGCCAGTCCGTGCTGACAGAGTTTCTACTGGGCTGCGCACTGGATAAGGAGTATACCAGCCTAGTACCTGTGATGAGAAGGGGAGTTCTCCTCCCTCTAAATCAGTGGAAGAGGGGACAGGAGTCCCGATTTCTATTGCCAGCATTACCCAGACTCAGATACCCCATGCCTCAGTTCCCCACCTAGAAAATGCACGTACATGTAGAAAACACCCTGGGCCCAACTAGCTCAGGGCATCTCTTGAAAATCCAAGAGAAAAACACTGCTTTGATACCAGGAGATGCCAAACATTTCTGACCATCAGAACACGCCGCCACTATTTATTTACCCAGTTCTTCCCAGCCTAAGGGGTCTCATTAGTATCAGGGAAGATAGTTTCACTAATTCCTGGTAAGTAGCAGCTTTTCCTTTTAAAAGGTCATTTGAAAAGAAAGATTAAGTCAAAGGTTGCAAATAAAACAGTTAACTATTGATGGGTCAGGCTGGATTTCCATTTATCTGACTGGCTGCAGAAGGATTAAAAGGTGAACACCAGATTGCTTTCTGCTACATTTGCGGCAGCTATTTGCAAACGCTTTCTGGCCAAGGATGCTCCAGACTTCAGTTCCATTGACCTCCGAGGAAGCAAAAGACACAAACTGCAATCAGCTCTCTACATCTCTTGATTCAGTCAATACTGAGCTAAAATCTTTCTATTCTGGGCACCAGCAGTATTTCCTTGTAGCGTACGCCTGCCATGTGCTGTAACACTTGCAAACACCGTGTACAGCCGTGAATGGGAGTTACACAAATGCAAAACACGGATTTGCCTTCCTGTCCCTGCCTCACCCCGGGGTGCGCGCCTGGCCCAGCATTCATCTCCCGACACAGAAACTGGCATTCACGGCAACGTCCCCGAGCAATTCCCCGATGAAGTATCAAGCTAAGAACAGGAGTAATATATTGCAAGTTATTGTTTTAGATTTTTGGGATAGGTTTATGAAATCCCACTGTATTCATGGCCTGTTCTCCCCCATCTTACACCAGTGCCGTCCTCTCCAGAGGATTAAAGAGTTTGAAAAATGAAGCAGATGAAGAGCAGCCCTGCTGAGGTGAGCAAGGAGCCCACCCAGCCCTTAGTGCAGAGAGTAGGGGACGGCTGCAGGAGGGATCCAGGCTCCAGTCCAGCCCAAGGACTTGAGCAGTCTGTGTTGGGAGGCCATCAAGGTAAATTTTCACGGCCTCTGTCACCGAGAATGACACGTGGCCGTTTACTGCTGAGCATCCCCTTACGGTCAGTAGAAAGTGGAATCGGCAAGAAATGGCCTTTCCATCGCCGGTCCTGGGTGGTGACTTGACACCTATTGACATGCAGAGAGAGGCGAGCGGAGCCCGCAGGGGATGCGAGCGGAGTTTTGCTACCCCTGCACAAAGGAAGCGCTGGACAAAAATCGATGTCGCTGCCCACCGATCGTTACAACCTCCGAGCCCCGGCCCTTGCTGCGAGAGGGAGGGTTAGCGGCTCGCATGACCCCTGCGCGGCTCCCTGCCTGCCAGCCTGCTCGGATGCCTTTTGGTGTCCTGTTATCCTTTCTCTTCAGGTTTTAATTATTTTTATGTAACAGGTGGGTTCTCATAGGAGCCTGGCTTTCCAGCAGAGAAGTTCTTACAGTGACTATATTGCTTTCTTAGGTGTCTTTCAAAACAGCGGGGTACTGTCCGTGCAGTTAAACTAACGTTACTCAGAATTAAGCACAGCCCAGCAGGACGCCTGCACTGCCCAGACAACTGAAATCAAAATTAAAGACACACAGTCGTCCCTCCTTGCTTAAGACAGCCAGACAAGAGGGAGCTGGACGAAGTCCCCGTGCGGGGCATCGCCGCAGGCAGGCAGAGGAGGAGAGTCCTGGTGAAAGTCAGGACCCTGTAAGACAGGGAGGGTTTCCTACGAGGCTGTACCGGTACCGAGGAGGCATTGCACAGCCCGCAGGATCGCACGCTACAGTTTTAACAACTTCGAGCAGCACTCACAGAGAGTTCTGCAAAAGGAGGTGTCTGGAGGATTGCAGAAATTATTTGGAGGATTGTCTTTTCTGTTTTACAGCAATTCTAGTCACATCTGGCTGCTCCCTTCTGGTTGGGAAGCGTTTCACTGCTTATTAAAGTCGGGGGTTTTGCTTTTTCCCCAGTTCCTGCACCTTCTCCTATTCATGTCAATGCCTTTCTGGCAGGGTCACCTGAAAAATGAATTGTACTTTCCCATCTGGCAGGGCAGGGGGAGTGGTGGGAGCAGGAAGACAGATGGATAAGTAAATAAAAGCCTGAATGAATCTAAAAGCGTGACTGAAGACTAATAGGGAACAGATCTTTTAACCAAGGATGCCGAGGGAAGGGTGGAACTTCACAGATCACATCCAGGGCATGGCACAGAGCAGCGAAATGCAGATTTCAAATGAGAGGGGTTTGCAGGACAGGCACAGCTGGGGAGCGGCAAAGCTGCGTGGGCTGCGTGGGGCGGAGGGGAGATGCGGCGTTACTTCGCCATCCCACCCTCCCGGGGAGGAGGAGGATGGCACAGCTGGCGGGGTGCTCGCAGGTATTGAGGTATTCTGAGATGCTGAAGCACTTTGATACCGAGCAGGGACCTTTGAGAATTTCACTTGCAAGCGTTGGCGTTTTGCACGCATGATAAAAAAAAATATACAGGTTTTGTGGGCAATTTACACACGGGGCGGGCAGCGGGGAGCAAACAAACACCAAAGCCACGGTCCCTGCTCCAAACAGGTTTGCAGCTCAAGGGGTTTCCAAATCATTCTAGCAAAAGCAAGGTGGGGCATAAAGGAGAGGTGTCGGGAGCAGACTGCGAGCCAACGGCCATCACGTAATGGTTTCGCTGCTCCTGACACCCTGGTGAGAGCTCCCCACACCCGGCCGGCGGCACAGTGAGCCCAGCTCGCTGCTGGGATGGGAGCACTCTTCCCCCCCGCCCAGAGGTGTCGAGACAGTATTTCTTGTTCAGACAATGCTCTTTGATGCAGGGCCGAGCTCTTAGCCCATATTGATGGGTCAGGGGTATTTTTATTTGGCGTCAGCATTGTTTCATCAGCTAATACAGCTTGTTGATTTTGGCATGGGTACATGAAAGGAAAAGGCTTTATTTATTCATTACACATTCAGCCTAATTTTATGTTTAGTTTAATTCTTAGCTAAACTTTTCTGAATGACATGTGGTTATAAGGCTTGTACTAAAGAACTATTTCTCTTAGTAGGCCAGGTGCTAAAATTGGAAAAAGCAGACAAA